CTTGTGGGATCTAACATGCACCCAAGGACACTGACAAAATTGAAGCAACCTATTTCTTGAAGAGGTGTTGTAAAGCAGTGATTTACCAGGGAGAGATATCAAAAAACAACTTACGGTGATGCCGAATGCTGTCTTTTAGGATTCCAATGTTCCACCTTGTGAAAGCCAATCCTTCAGCTGTGCAGAGCCCTTTAACTCAATAAGCCATTTTTCCAGTGTGGAGCTCACTACAAAAAGTGCTGCAGCTACTCAATTGAAGGCTACCTCTCAAATTCATGGAGTGATACATTTGGCAGCTTTGGTGGGAACCCTAGTTTTGGCTTGACAGCTCTAATCCACTTCTCTCTTTTTTCTGCAAGAACAATAATTGTAATAAGGTAGAACTAAGGTACCACCAGAATAAATACCTGAATAAATGAAGGAAGAATAAATGATCCTTTCCCTTCCTTCACCATAGAGTCATATAACAGCAATTTCATATTGGCAGTTCTGTTTTCAATGAAGAAAGAGTTCAGTCATAAATGGGATCATTCCTGTGCTGGCTAAGCAGAGTCAGACTAGATAAGCAGAAGGATAGGAATCCATTGACACTTCTAGGTCTAAGCTGGACATGACTGGGAAGTTAAAAACATATAGAAGATGGCAACTGTTACGAACTAAGCAAACTCGTTCATTAATAACCCTACTAGTTTTACTTCAACAGCAGGCTTGTAATCCTGCACTTCTGATTGGCCCGCGGATAGCGAATCGTGATTGGCCGCCTCTGGCTGATCTGATTGGCTGACAGCGGGCCGCCTCTGATTGGACGCTTTTTAGAGCGGTAAACTCGATTCATTGGTTGTTGTGACAGCAGCCAGCTCTATAAAAGAGCTGCTGCTGCCCAAGTAATTCGCTCTGTTCTGAAGTCACTATTAAAGAGTTGAGTCACTATACGATGCCTCGTCTCCGTTCATTGTGCCTACTCTTCCAGATCTAACAGCAACATAAGGCTATTTCCATTTACTTATTTGCTAAGCAAATAGTACAGATGTACCTCCACTGTACTAGGTGTTGAGTCTGACAACAAGGTGATTTTACCCCTTATGTTTGTTTCCAAATGATATTGAATTTGTGATGTTTAAGCTCTGCATTACATGGTGGTTTTTTTTAATGTAAAACTTATTGTTTTAAGTATGAAAACACTAAAAAAAAACTAACGCAGAAGAAAACATTTACTGCTTTGAGGTAGGCCTTTGGTTGAATGTCTGGCTTAAGAGTCTCATCAGGGATATTAAACCACTTTATGAAGGTTACCTTTTTAATAATATTTTGGTAGATTGTTACACCAAATTACAAACACACAAAAACACACATGTAGATACATAAAGTATACACATTGACCAGTCAGTTGGAGGTTTTGCTTTTACACAGAATTTATTTTTTTATTTAAAACATTTATAAAGCTGCCCATCTTTCATCCAACTCTGGGTGGCTCCCAATCAAAAATTAAAAATCATAAAATCATATTAAACTATAAACTACAACCAATTAAAACACTAAAAACACCAAAACCTAGCATATAATTTGCATGAAAGGCATCAGATCAGTTCTAGGTTAGATTTAGTAAAGTTCTAGATTGGATTTAGTTGGAGTACAAAGAATTTTGGTGATCTTATTTTCAGGCCTTCAGTGTTTTCTTTTAATCAAGGTTTCAGTGTGGTATTTTTTGGATGTTACCCAGGCCTGTGATTGTTCCTATGGCCCTTTGAACTTACAGTTTTCATCCCTCGCCTCTACTCCGGCTTATGTTTCCCTTAGGCATTCATAAGACCCTCATGCAAAGTATATGAAATCAAATGTCACGTAAGAATTTGCTGATACTAAAAGATGCCATGATTTTAATAGGAATTTGGATTTTTCTGGCAGAGATAACAAATACTGAATGGGAGATCGGCTATATTATTTTATTGTGGCAGAAGCAAGTAGCAGGGCATTTTGACTTGATCCATTCAGTCTGGCATTTAGTTCCTTTCACTAAATCATTGCAGTTCGTGAAGGCATCTTCATATTTGCAAGGATTTGCTGAAAATTTTAAAAAGAGGAAACATGAATAAAAGTGAGACATTACCAAAAGCATAACTGCTAGGGACTCTTTTACAATTGTACGCAAAGTTTTAGAGCTCAGAATCAAACATATGTATTTTTTAATAGGTTGCTTTAAAGCTGAAGATTTTTAAAATGAAAATGAAGTACTCTAGTACTTAGAGTAATTATTTTAGAGTATATATTAGAGTAATTATATATAGCTGGTGAATTAGTTTCAACAATAACCCTGAACAAAATTCAGAGAAAGCTGGTATGGATTTTAAGTTCTTAATAAGCTAAAATGGATTGATATCATCCTCATCTTTTCTGATTCAATTGTCTGGGCTCAGCAACCACTAGTATGGGCTCATATAGAAGCACCATCAAGGCAACTCTAGATGTCTGGTTATCCCATGAATACATGTTTCATTTTGTGGTGGTCCAGTTGTCTTGCCTAGGTTTGTCTTGCTGGATAGCTGACCGTCTTCCATTATGCCTGTTATTCTACCGTGTTTCTCATATAATAAGGCCGGGTCTTATTTTTTTTTTGAGCCCCGAAAAAATGGCTAGGCCGTCTTTTCAGGGGTGACTTAATTCCCCCCCCTTGCATCTTCGGGTGGGCGGCGATGGCTTGGATGTTGACCTCGGCGTTGGTGGGGCACTTCGTATCAGGGTCAACGCAGGCAGCGCCATATCCGGGTGTGCAACAAAAGTACTTTCTAACGGCAAGCCCCCCCCCACCATTCCCCCCATTTCTCATGTTTTAATATAGGCCTTAATTTGGGGGGAGGGGCTTAATTTCATTTCATGCCTATAAAACATGCTGGGACTTCCTATTGAGGGAGGCCATATTGTTGGAGAAACAGGGTACCTAGAGGCGGTTAGCTCTTCAAATAAAATCTGTTCTTTGGTGACATGACATGATCTTTAAAAATGTTCATTTAATAATTGATCTTTTTTAAAAACTTACTGCATAGTCCGTTGACACAAGCCGAAGGACAGTCCCCACAAGTTGGCCCTGATTTATATGGAGTAGCAATTGAACCTCTGATGTTCCCTCTGGAATGAAAAAAGATGAACAGAATGGTGTTATATGTTATTACTCTTACATTTGTGATTTCCAAAACCCCCACTCAGTATCAATAGATAATTGACTTTGTTTGCATTGTCTTGGTCTCTCTGGTTTGGGTCACCAGTTTTGAGATAGCAGACAGCACCATTGAAGGGGAAGACTTGACTTCTGAAGTCTTCTCCAAAAGGCAGTAAATTCTGTCAAGTTTTTTTTTAAATAAACTTTATTGAACTTTTATTACATTAAAATCATAAGAAATATATCACTCAATAACAGCTATTTGTAGTGCTTATCATATGACAATAATTTGTGCATTATTTACAGGTATTAATTTATGCATAATTACATTCTTATTCTGTCTATTACTTACATTTAATAATTGCCTATCTTTAATCTATCTCTGATCTATCCATCTATACCATTGTTCCCACACCTTATAAAATATTGAATCTTCTTCATCTTAACCCTGTCAAGTTTTGTGAGAGAGCAACAAAAATATTTTCCTGGCTTATTAGAGAGAGAAAGAACTGAGGGAAACTTTGGTTTCCTTCTCATGTCTGTTTCCCACGCCCGCCCTTTCATTCCCCCTCTTTCTTTGTAACATTCTCCTTCTCCTATCTCTCTGTCTTGATGAGACAAATCAAGTTGATACATACGCTGGGCAGTATTGACAAACGTAGAGGTATTTGGTTGAAGAACATTTGGCAGAAGCACAACCAAGAAGGTGAGTTTTGTACCAAACTACCTGTAGATACAAAAAATATGCACACATGTTGACATGCTAGAAGCTTAATATTGATAATAAACATATGGACTTCAGAGGAGCATGTAAGAAAATAAACCCAGATGCGAACATGTTGTAGTATATACAGTATACCACAATAACAATGAGTGTACAAAGAACTTCTCCAATCATTTCATATAAAAGTTTTACCAAAGCAAATATTAGAACAAGCAAGGCTTCATCCTCTGTGCTTTAAAAGTATATACTTAAAATGAAAAATATGAAACTGTTTCATCCTGAACTTTATAGACCATCTCTTTCTAAAGTGCCCCACCACATCCAAAGCAGTCTACGTGTCAAGTGTTATGACCAGCAAGCTAGTTCTTCCTTCCCAGCTGCATGAAAGCCAAGATCTGAATAGACAGCTAATTGTGAATAACAACAACATGTTTAGTATGTTTACAACCCTTCATTTACTCCATATCAGTACTTAATATCAACAAAAACATTGCAACACTTTAACTTAGTCTAGTTTACCCTTTCCTTAACGTACACTGGGACTATGACTCTTAACCAGGATGTTCCTTTGCTCATGTTTATGAAATTATTTAGTGATTTTAAGGACATAGTTGCTTGGTTTTTTTGGCTACAGCACAACAAATGTTTTGCTATTATCTTTTTGTGCGGTGTCTGTGGAAATTCTCAGTCATCCAGGTCATGGTTATCTCAAAGGTACTTTTTTTTCCAAGAGGCAACTGGACTTTCTGCTTTTTCTTTGAAGACATTTTGCTTCTCATCCAAGAAGCTTCTTCAGCTCTTTTTGTGGGGTGTTTTCTCAATTTTCCAGTCTAGCTTCAAGCCATGATTTTCCTATGTAACAACCAAGCCTACCCTTGTTTAGTGATTCAGGATCAAACAAGGACTTGAGCTTAATTCAAAGGAGTCTACCTTTTTATCTTATTTTTGTGGATTTATACTTGGTGTATATAGAAACGGCAAAGATATGAAAAAGTACTACCTGGATATAATGGCCAATAATAGAACCTGGTGGCTTTGCTCCAATGCCATAGACGAAATTTTTGATTTCATCATACCAATCCTGAACTACTCCACTCCATGCAAAAGGTTGAGTTGACATGAATATATTTTCACCACAACTGAGTTTTCCTAAAAGTGGGGAAGGTTAAAAAAAAAAAAAAGCAACAGCTAGAAAACACAGGTGAATACATCTTTTGAAAGAAGCAAACAGATAGCAGAAAGCAGAGCTGAGCATTTCCTATCTCTCCAGAAATACTAATGCAATCATCTTGGTAAAGTATTGGAAAGGAAAGGATCATTTTGCACCCAGATTTCTTACTGTGGTGCTTTTCTAGAACCTTTGATTGTGCAGACTGACAATCCTTTGTTTTCTGAAGAGCATATAAAAACATTAATATACTTTATTTGGAAGTAAATTAGAACCCAGATGCGCTAATTTGTGGGAACATCTGTATGTTAATACATAGTGAGATTAGGAAGATTTAGGTTTAATTTTCCAATTGACCATGGAAATCTCTGAACATCTTTGGGCTCAGCATCTACCATCAAAAACAGCTGTAGTGAGGACATTAGCACATTATCTTTAGAATCTTTGGGGAATGGTGGGCTATAAATGTAGTAATATATAATATAAAAAAGAAATGATAAAAAATAATTGTTCGGGGGGGGGGGGGAAGAATTATTAACATCTCAATTGAACCAAACCATTACTATAGAATGATTCATAGGCTTTACTCTTGCTGCTAATATTGAAGAGCAAGATTGATTGTAAATGCTGTTTAATGTGAAATATACTATTAATCCATTAACCATTTAAAACCATACTATTGTTTGGGATTGACTTACCCACAGTTCTTGTATGTGGTAGACTGTGAGCAAAAGTACATCTATCTGCCCAACGTTGTGCATTTTGAGCAGCACGAGAATTCCATTCCTGAATAAAAATTGACAGCAACGGTCAGTTATTGAAAAAAATCATATGTTAAATTTGCAGAAAATATGTCTTGTAATGTTTTACTACCTTTTGGATTCCTCCAAATCCCGCAGTTAAAAATTCAGAAGTTACACCAATATTCTCTAAAATGTGCTTTGCTTTGAATAGTTGGAGCTCCCTCTCCATCCCTTATATAGAGCTGCCCTTCTCACAAAACACAAAACTCTGGGTGGCACACAACAAAGTTAAAAGACAATAATTCACAATAACAGCAACAATTATTATTAAAAACATCAAAAACTATAAAATATAGCTAAAATGAAATGGGACCGGAACTGATACAGGAAGGTGTAATTGGGGAGAGATGGTTTCTCCAATAACCTGTCCCCATGCCATGTAGGGCAAGAGTCCCCAACACCTGGGTCATTCAGGAACCTGGCCGCACAATTGAGTTCCACTCAAGCGAGAGGCGGGTGAGCAAGCGTGCGCACAACTCCACTCCTGTGAGTGTTAGGCAATTGCATTTGCAACTCCGCTCAGGTGAGCGGTGGATATTTGTGTTTGTGTGCAAAGCTCCATTCTGCCCCTCACACACAACCAGAGGTGGCATTCAGCAGGTTCTGACCAGTTCTGGAGAACCGGTAGCGGAGATTTTGAGTAGTTCAGAGAACCGGCAAATCCCACCTCTGATAGGCCCCGCCCCCATTTATTCTCTGCCTCCCGAGTCCCAGCTGATTGGCTGGGTCTTCTTTGGTTGCCCTGCACAGGAGAACGGAGCTGGAAAGCAGGTTAGCGGGGTGGGGAGGGAATGGGGATTTTACAGTATCCTTTTCGTGCCATGCCCACCAAATAACAATAATCAAAATAAGCACTTTGATTTGGGCCTGGAGACAAACTGGTAGCCATGGCAAATACTCAGCAGAAATATATTATTTGCTGTACAATGAACACACATAACTACCAATTCTGCGGCAATTTGCACCAATTGAAGATTCTGGGTATTCTTCAAAGGCAGCCTCGTGTAAAGCACATTTAAAAAGTCCAACCAGGAGGTGACTGGGCCCCTCAATCTAGGAATGGGCACAACTGGTATACAATATGAAGTTTATGAAGACCCTCTTAGCCACAACTGCCACCTGCTCCTCAAGCAGGAGCTGTGAATCCAGGAAAAACCCCAGATTGGGCACAGAGTCAGTTTAGGGCAATATAGCATCATCCAGCAGCAAAGATGTCATTGTCCCAGAACTGGAGCATCCCAAAACCCAAAGCTTGTTGTTCCTCATCCAAACCTTTGCAGTCTCTAGACACCACAAGAAAACATCTGGCTTGCAGTGGCACTTCCGTCGAGGACAGACGGAGACCACAAATGTTTGAAAATTAACATTAATATAATTGAAAAAAAAGGGGGGGGGGAAAGAACTTTGAAAAGTGGAAGCGATATAGAGCGCCACCTTAATGGTACAAGTCATTTTTTCCTGGATGACTTTATGGAAAATTACTGGTCTGTTAAATGTGTGAATGAGAAAAAAAACATGAAATAAAATATTTTAACATAACAAGAACCCTGGAAACTTAAAAGAAAAAGGGAGAGGTTGCAGCAAGAGGACAAAGGAAGGCAATATCTTGGGACTGTTGAGGGTTGACTGGGCAGAGGAAATAGAAATACCAATAAGGATAAGAGATATAAATGGAGTCTCTTGCCAAGGATTACAACTAACTTTAATAAAATAAAGAATAACACAATTTATTTAAAAAATGCAAGAAGCAAGCAAAGAATTTTAAGTTGGAACTGCAAACTGTGAGAGAAATGATAAAAGAAAGAAGGGGACTATTGGACATACTGGCAGAAAAAAGTAATGCAATTTATAGCAAAACAAAGGAATCCTAGAGAGGAGGAGCCAAAGGAGGAGGAAAACAGCCAAGATGGACATGAAGATTCAGAGACATTGCCAAAAGATACAAAAGGAACTAAAACTAAGACATTGATGACAGAGATAATAAATAAAAGAGATAAAGCTCCCAAGAGTAAATTAGCCAAGCGCAGTTCCTGCAACCATTCATTGTATGTTTTAGCCTCCAGTCCCCTAATTATCCTGGTTGCTCTTCTCTGTACTTTTTCTAGAGTCTCAACATCTTTTTTATAATGTGGTGAACAAAACTGGATGCAGTACTCTAGGTGTGGTCTTACTAAGGCTTTATAGAGTGATATTAGTACTTCCCTTGATCTTGATTGTATCCCTCTGTTAATACAATTTAGGATTGCATTAGCTTTTTTGGCTGCTGCTGCACACTGCTGGCTCATATTTAGCTGGTTTTCCACGAAGATTCCAAGATCCCTCTCACAGTTACTGCTATTGAGCTTGGTTTCACCCAGTCTATATGTGTACTTTTGGTTTTTCTTGCCTAAGTGTAGGACTTTACTTTTCTCTACATTGAATTTCATTTTGTTAGATATGGCCCAGTGTTCTAGTCTGTCAAGATCCATCTGGATCTTGAGCCTATCTTCTTGGGTGTTAGCTATTCCTGCCAGCTTAGTATCATCTGCAAATTTGGTAAGTTCCCCTTTTATTCCCTCATCTAAGTCGTTAATGAAGATATTGAAGAGTACTGGGCCTAAGACAGCACCTTGTGGCACCCCACTACTTACTTCTCTCCATGTAGACTTAGACCCATTAAGGACTACTCATTGAGTATGGTTTGCCAGCCAGTTGTGAGTCCATCTAGTGGTGGTGCTATCTATTCCACTTTTTTCTAGCTTAATAATAAGTAGGTTGTGGTCTACTTTGTCGAATGCCTTGTTGAAATCTAAATATATTATGTCCACAGTATTTTGCTGGTCTACTAATTTAGTCACTATGTTGAAGAATGAAATAAGATTGGTTTGGCATGATGTGTTTTTAACAAACCCGTGTTGACTGCTAGTTATTACTTTACTTGTTTCTCAAAGTTGGCAGATCTATTTTTTTATTATCTTTTCCAATATCTTCCTGGGTATTGAGGTTAGGCTGATTGGTCTATAATTTCCTGGGTCTGTTTTTTTTCCTTTTTTGAATGGGAACCACATCAGCTCTTTTCCAGTCCTCTGGTAGTTCCCCGGTGCTCCAGGATTTTTGAAAGATATGATGCAGTGGTTCTGAGATGACCTCTGGCAGCTCCTTTAAAACTCTGGGATGTAATCCATCAGGCCCCGGTGATTTGTTTTCATCAAGATCAGACAGATGTTCTCTTACTATTTTTTGCTAATTTTAACTTTTATTTCTGGTCTGTCCTTTACAATTATGTTTTTGGTGGGTTGAGCTACAGTTTCTTTTTGCATGAAGACGGATGCAAAGAATGAGTTAATCAGTTCTGCTTTCTCTCTGTTGCCTGTTACTTCCTTGCCATCTTCTCTCTTTAGTGGACCGACTGTTTCCTTGATTTTTTTCTTGTTATTTATATGTTGGAAGAAACTTGTTTTATTATCTTTGACTTTTGTTGCAAGTCTTTGTTCGTTCTGAGCCTTTGCTATACTGATTTCGTCTTTGCAGATTCTGTCTATCTGCTGATATTCTGCCTTAGTTGTATGTCCTTCTTTCCATTTTTTGTACTTGTCCTTTTTTTCTTTCAATTTGCCAGAGAGATCTTTGTGCAGTCATGCTGGTTTCTTCTTGGATTTCTTGTTTTTCTTTCTCAGTGTATTGTGCTGGTCTGGGCTTCTATGATCATACTTTTTAGAGTTTCCCAAGATTCTTGAGTTGTTTTCCCCTTTAGGATTTTCATCCATGGAATCTTTCCCAAGTTCTCTCTGAGTTTATTGAAATTGGCTCTTTTAAAATCCAAGACTCTGATGTCATTATGTTCTGTTGCTTGTGTTTGTGTTATGTTGAATTCTAGTATGACATGGTCACTCTCACCCAAGGTTCCTGCGGTTTCAACTCCCTCTATCACTTCTTCTCTGTTTGTAAGAATTAAGCCCAGTATGGCTGTTCCTCTACCTTTTGGACAACAAAGTTGTCAGCTAGGTTGGTTAGGAACTTATTTGATTTCTCACTTGGTGCAGAATTAGTTTTCCAATTGATATCAGGATAATTGAAGTCTCCCATTACTATTGTTGTATGTTTCCTGCATATGTTTGTTAGTTGGCTGGCAAAAAGGACATCTATGGCCATGTCATTCTTTTTTTTCTTTTATATTGACCCATATGCATTCTAGAAGGTTTTTATCTTTGGTTTCATGCATTTCTGTAGCAATATAGTGGTCCTTTACATACAGTGCAACTCCACCTCCTCTTTTATGGGGTCTGGGTTTTTTTGAATAGGGTGTATCCTTCTACCAGTATGTTCCAGTCATGGGTTTCATCCCACCAAGTTTCTGTTATTCCAACTATATCATATTTGCCTTCATGTATTCGTAGTTCGAGTTCACCCTGTTTGTTCCCCAGACTTTGTGCATTTGTATATAGGAACTTGAGATCTTCATGTCTGACACTGTGTTTACTGTCTACATAACTTGTGTTGTGCCTGCCTGCCCCTACTTTCTTGCCACCTGTTTTTGATTAGTGCACTTGATATGGCACTTAGTATTAAATGCTTGGTTTTGGTTGGCATCAAGGTTGATAATCTTACCTGCACAAACATCTATTTTGCATGCACTGGTATTCTTATTAGTTTTAGGTTGCTAGGGACAGAAATGTTCTGAATCCATTAATTCTCTGTCCCCACTGTTCAGTTTAAATGTTTATCCAGGAAATCTGTGAATTTAATGCCAAGTAATTCAGTCCCTTTCTTTGATGGATGCAAAACATCTCTTTTGTACAGTATTTCATTGGACCAGCTGCAGACATCATGACTAATAAAACCAAAGCCTTCCCTTTTACACCATTCCTTTAGGCACACATTAAACTCTGCTACAAGCTGCCCTTTCCCTTTTTGTTCCTTGTGTACTGGTAGAACCTTTGAAAAGATAAGCCTACAGCCCATATTACTAAGTTCATACCCCAAGCTCTGGAAGTCTTTCTGAAC